CTTCAAATCATGAATTTTGGGGGGCTCCTGGGTGGCGCAGTCATTTCAGCTACCAACTCTTGCTTTCCTCTCAGGTTGTGATCTCAGGGCCCTGATCTCAGGGTCTTGAGATTGAGCGCGGCGGCAGGACCCGTGCTCTGCGAGGAGTCTGCTTAAGACTCTCTCTGCCCCTCCCCACCTAAAATAAATAAATAAATTTTTTTAAAAATGCAATTTAAAAAATATTCAGTGATTTCCAGAGTTGTGCCACCATCACTACAGTCAGTTCCGGAACCTTTCCTTCAGTCTAGAAAGGTCCCTCCTGCTTGTTTGCAGTCCAGCATCCAGCTCCAACCCTAGGCAACCATCGGTCTGCTTTCTGTCCATAAATTTGCCTTTTCTGGACATTTTATGTAAATGCTATAATATGTGGTCTTTCGCTTCTGGCTTTTTTCATTCATTCTAAACCTTTTGAGGTTCATCCACGCTGTAGCAATGGGGCTGTTTGCTCTCTTTGGTTGCTGAACGGTATCCCATTGTACAGATATACATCTTTTTTGCTGATCTATTCGATACCAGCTGATGGTCATTTGTGTTTCCAGTTCTTAGCTATTTCGGATAATGCTGCTATGAACGTTCATGTAAGTGTCTTTGTATGTTATGTGTGTTGTCATTTCTCTAGGAGTAGAATAGCTAGGTTGCATGGTACGTTTATGTTTAACTTTTTGAGAAACAGCCAAACTGTTATTCCAAAATGTCTGTACCATTTTACATTCTCACCAGCAATATATGAGGATTTGTTTACCCATATCCCTGTCAACACTTATTGTCTGTCTCTGATTATAGCTATCTTGGTGGGTGTGAGGTGGTATATCATTGTGGTTTTAATTTGCATTTCTCTAATGACTAATGATGTTGAGCATCTTTTCGTATGCTTATTAGCCATCCATGGCTCTCATTTAGAAAAACATCTATTCAAATCTTTTGCCCATTTTAAAACATTTTTTAAAAACATTTTCTTTATTAGGTGCTTGGGTGGCTCCATTGGTTAAGCAACGGCCTTCGGTTCAGGTCATGATCCTGGAGTCCTGGGATGGAGTCCTGCATCGGGCTTCCTGCTCAGCAGGAAGTCTGCTTCTCCCTCTGACCCTGCCCCTTCTCATGCTCTCTCTCTCTCTCTCTCATTCTCTCTCTTTCAAATAAATAAGTAAAATCTTAAAAAAAACCATTTTCTTTATTTATTTGAGAGAGTGAGAGAGAGCATGAGAGTGGAGAAGCAGACTCCCCATGGAGCTCGATCCAGGGACTCCGGGATCATGATGTGAGCTGAAGGCAGTCACTTAATCAACTGAGCCACCCAGGCGCCCTCTTTTGCCATTTTAAAAAAGATTTTTATTTATTTATTTGAGAAAGAGAGTGCGTAGGAGAGAGAGGGAGAGATCACTAGCAGGGGGGATGTGCAGATGGAGAAGCAGACTCCACGCTGAGTGGGGAGCCCCATATAGAACTCGATCCCAGAACCCCGGGATCATGACCTGAGTGGAAGTCAGACATTTAACCAACTGAGCCACCCAGGCATCCCAACAAGTTTTTTTTTTTTTTTTTTTAATTTTCTTAGTGATGTCTATTGAAGTGCAAAAAACTTAAATTTTGATGACGTCCAATTTGCTGATTTTTTTTGTCAGTTGTGCTTTTGCTGTTGTATCTAAGATCGCTGCCTAACTTAAGGTCAAGAAGGTTTTTTTCCCATAGTTTCTTCAGACATTTTATTTTTGCTCTTACATTTAAGTCTATGATCTATCTTGAGTTAATCTTTGTAGATTGTGAGGTAAGGATCTAAACTCATCTTCTGGCAGGTGGAGAGCTGATTGTCCCAGAACCATTTATTGAAAAGACTAATCTGGGGTGACTGGGTGGCTCAGTTGTTGGGCGTCTGCCTTTGGCTCAGGTCATGACCCTGGGGTCCTGGGATTCGAGTCCCACATGGGGCTCCCTGCTCAGCGGGTTGTCTGCTTTTCTCTCTAACCCTCTCCCCGCTTGTGATCTTTCTCTCTCATGCTCTCTCACTCTCTCTCAAAAAAATAAATAAAATCTTTTTAAAAGTTCAAATATAACTTATACACAGTAAAATTTGTCCTCTTGAGTGTACCTTTCTGTGAGTCCTAACTGAGCTGGGTACCTACCACCATGACCAAGATATAGAACAGCTCCATTACCTCCTCACAAGTCCCCTTCCCCTTTGCTGTCAACCCGTCTCCCTCCTCCCTGACCCCAGATCTCTCTTCTTTCCTTATAGTCCCACCCCCTCCCAAAAGCCATATAAATAGAGTCCTACAGCACTCAGCCTTCTGAGTCCGGCTTCCCTCTCTAACCCCATCCTTCAACATCCAGCGTGATCTTTTCAAAATATAAACCTGTCTGCCTTTCTGGGCTGAAGAGCCACTGCAGGGTCTGGCCTCGACCCATAGTTCCTGCCAGTCTGGACAGACAGGATGGATGGCTCTTAAACCTGGTTTAACCACCTGAGGGCTTGTCAATACCACACATTCCTGGGTCTTGGCCCTGGAGACTGAGATTCAGTAGATGGGGAGGGGCCCAGGGATCTGTTTTTTACACAAGCCTAAGGAGCTGTGGAGGCAGGTGGTCCCCGGCCACACTTTGAGAAACACAGCTGAGTCCAAAGCACTTGCCTTTCTCCTCACCAGCCCGAGCTTAGCTGTGTGGCCTCCTCTCTTTCCTTCTCAACCCCACTGTGCCTTTTCATGCCGTGTCCCCTCCCGATAAGGGCTTTGGCACTTGTTTCCTCATCGTGAATGGAACACCCCCCGATTCCCACCCACCCTTCTCCCTGCTCCAGTTTCCCCTCTGCTCACTTGTCACTTCCACAGACAGGGTTCCCCAACTCATCGGGTGAGTCATTTTCCCAGCATACTGGTCACCTGTCATTTCTTATTTGTGTGTGATTTTTTTTTTTTTAGAGAGGGGGAGGGGCAGGAGGAGAGGGAGAATGAGACAATCTTTTTTTTTTTTTTTGAAGATTTTATTTATTTATTTGACAGAGAGACACACAGTGATAGAGGGAGAACAAGATTCCTTTGGAGCACGGAGCCCAACGTGGGGCTTGATCCCAGGACCCTGGGACCTTGACCAAAGCTGAAGGCAGACGCTTATCAACTGAGCCACCCAGGCGTCCCGAGAATGAGAGGATCTTAAGCAGGCTCCACACCCAGCATGGAGCGCAACACAGGGCTCGATCTCACAACTCTTGAGATCATGACCTGAGTCAGTCACATAACTGACTGAATCACCCAGGAGCCCCTTATGGGATTTTTCTATTAACATCAGTCTCCCCAACTGGGCTGCACGAGGATAAGGCCAGGGTCTGTTTTTGCTGCTCCCTGCTTTTTCCCCAGTACAATGCATGAGGTTTGCCTATAGTAGGTACTTAACAAATATTACTGAATGAAGGAAGGAATCTTTGAGTGAGTCGTCTACTGTGCTTTGCACAAGCTGCTGCTCCAAGGCCCAGGTGACCTCCCCCCTCCCCCACTTCTTTGCTTAGTCCACTCATACTGGTTTTTCTAGGAAAACCCCATTTGGGGAAAGTTGAGGCTCGAGCCACTCCTTGATGGTACCTCAGGGCAGACTGCTTATCACTCTAAGGACTGTTTGTTTACCCAACTGTCACCCACTTGAGGCTGGGAGGTGGCTACTGCCTTTGATCTGTGCCCTTCCAGGCCCTCTCCCTGACCCTTCTGTTTGCCTAATGCTGGAGGAGAGAGCTAAAGTGATCCCTCAAAGGGGAGTCCCCTGGCACCTGGCCAGAGCTTTCCCTAGATCATTCCTCCTACCATGAGACCCTGTATAACCCCTTGGATTTCAGAAGAAGCTGAGACCCTGGACTTTGCAAAGAAGGGAGAACTTCGGGGCGCCTGGGTGGCTCAGTTGTTAAGCGTGTGTCTTCGGCTAGGGTCGTGGACCCAGGGTCCTGGGATCGGGTCCTGCATCAGGCTCTCTGCTTGGCGGGAAGCCTGCTTCTCCCTCTCCCACTCCCCATGCTTGTGTTCACTCTCTCGTTGTGTTTCTGTCAAAAAAAAAAAAAAAAAAAAGTCAAGAAGGGAGAACATCTCCCTGGGTGCCTCTGAGGGCCAGGGTGCAGGCTAGGTGGCCAGACTGTGTTTGGAGGTCAAGGAGCAGCCCCTGTTCCTGGACACCCTTCTGGCAGGCTTCCCTCTTTGGCTGAGTGCTCTTTGCCCCCATCAGGTGGGACCCAGAGGCCCAGACAGGCCCCCTGGCTTGGCCAATGAGCAGACCTGATTTGGTGAGGAGTATGGGGAAGGGCCCCCAGTCCCTCCCTCCCACATCACGAGGACTCTGGATCTTCACTCTGAGGCTGCTCAGCTCCACCGTCTTCCCCGCCTCTCCCTGGGCACCTGCCGCCGCCGGGCTAGGAAGGGCAAAAACAATCCCGGCCAGCCAGCGTGGAGTGTCAGGGAGTCCCGCCCCTCCTCCTCTGGTTCCTCCTCCCGTGATTCTTCCCCAGGCCCCGCCCCCACCTGCCCAAGATAATTTTAGTTTCCTTGGGCCAGGAGCTTGGACACACAGGGCTCTCCCTCCCCCCAACCCTCACTCTACGTCCAAAGTCGGGACACCCTCCTGCCACCTGTAAAGAAGAAGGAGTGGATCTGAAATCAAGTCCAGGTGTCTGGGGTCCCAAGACAGAACCAGACTTTGTACCCGGTGTCCTGCCACTTCTGCTGGGGCCCTCCAGGTAAGGTGACCAAAATCGGTCCCAGCCGACAACCTGCTCCCACCCCCGGCCGCCCCAGCGCCCAGGCTGTGCCCGTGTCAGGGCCAAGAGCTGGCAGGTTGCCCAGGTGGGCGGTCGGCGGCTGCCTGACTCCCGACTCCCCCCTCCCTTTCCCCCCCTTCAATGATGTCAGGCCAAGGGCGGGGGCAGGAAGGGGACAGGTAGTTAAGGGCCTGGCGTCTCCCTCCCTAAACCGGTGGCCCCAGCCAAGTGTTCCAACGCCCAGGGTCCAGGTAAGGACCCAGCGGGCACTTCGTCTAGAGGGTGGGAGCAGCGGCAGGTCCGGGGTCAATGTTTAAAGATTCAGCCTCCTGCTGTGTTGCTCTGGCCGCCTCGCTTTCTCTTTTTCTCCAATCGCCCATATCCCGCCCCTTCCTCACCATCTGCCCTCAGTCTTTCCCTATTCTCATTTCCTGTCTTCCTTATTCCTTCCTTTCCTCCCTGTAGCCCGCCTCCGTCCGGCGCCCGGACAAAGCAGCTGATGGGGATGGGGAAGAAAGATCTCCAATCCTCTCCTCGGGGAGACGCTGCTTTCCCGCTGAAACTAGTCCCTCCCCACCTTCTCAGAAAAAGAGCTAGGAGGGGGCCTGAGCACCCAGGGCTGCCTAGAGGCATTCCTGGCTTAGCCTGAGGTTACCCGTTTGAGGTTTTCCCAAGACTCTACCAAAGACTGACGTCTCCGCGCAGGGGCGGGGGGCACCCTCCAATTTGGAGGGCAGCCGAGGAGAGGGATCTCCTAAATTGTTAGAGCTCGGTCTCGGGATTGTTTGCCTGCTCAGAATACAGGGCCCTGCCCTAGGAAGGGGAGGTGGGGGCGGGGCAGGCCCCGGGGTCCTTCCTGGCGTCGGAATGAAGACTGGAAGGCTAGAGGTCTGGATGCTGGGGGTCTGCGGCGAAGCGGGGACTAGGGAAAGTGTGTGTGTGCGTGTTTGGGGGCAGGGGGCAGTGTTCGGAGAAAGACCCGAGTCTGGATCTCCCTGGTACCGCGGGGATGGAGAATGCACCTGTCCGCCCTTGGAAGGCCTCCCAACCCTACTGCCCCTCAAGAATGGCCCCTCTTGGTCCGCCTGTCCTAGACTGCTCTCCCCTCTCCGCCCCCTCCCCTCTCCGATAGTGCTGGGGGAGCCCTCCAAGAAGGCAAGCAGCCTGTAATCATTAACTCCACAGACACAATCTAGCATTCTTCCCAAATTAAACTTTAAGAAAGCTTACCCCCCCCGCCCCCCGCCTTTCCCATTGGGCGTTTTTTTCCAGAGTTAGGGAGTGGGCGGGGCCTCAGCGTCCTGGGCCCTCCTCCCAACTCCGGGTCATCTAGGGGTTTCCCGCCTCCTTACCTGGGCCCTGCAAGCTCACAACTCCCGCAAGGTTGGACCTTCCAACCACCTCCCCCCCCCCCCCGCCTCCATAAATCCCGATGGGGGCGGACGTGGAGTGCTGGGCTGGACCAGGGCCTTCCCGCCACCTGCTAGTCCCCCGCCTAGGCCTCGGCCCTGCCAGCCCCTCCCCCCTCCCCTGGCTAGCGACGGAGGTGGCCTTGTTTTCCAAGGGCCCTTAATAGTGGGCCCTGCCACCCGCCCTTGGGGCCAGCCAGGTGGGGCGAGATTCAGGAAGTAAACAAGGAGGCAGGAGGCTGGGAGGGCGGGAAAGAGGGTGGGGCTGGAGCCTCGGGGCAGGAGAGGCGGTTGGGGAAGCCTGGACTTGGAGTCCTAGTGTTGAGGGGACTGAGATCTTGGGGGTCGGTTCCTTCCACAGAAGCTTTCCTAGGGCCCCCGTTTGAAAGGGTCAGGACTCTTGGGAGAGTGTTCCCCAGGCCCCAGAGCTAGGACCCGGTTCTCTTCCCATCCCATCTGTTTGGTTCTAACTGCCCCACTCTTCTCTTGCCTTAGAAGGGTCTGGAAGGCAAGGTGGGATCAAAAGGCCAAACCCAAGTCTTCACTGGTCCTCCAGACCTCTGAGGCCAGATTCTAATCTGATTCTGATTTAAATCTCCCATTTCTTTGCCCAAACACTGCCCTGATTCCTTTTCCCTCTGGGATGAAGTAGGACCCCACTTTTGTTCTCTGGGTGTCCCATCCCCCCCACACCCCACCCCCACCCCCCCCCCTCCCTGGAGTGAAGTCACCAGGGTTGGTGACCCCAGGGTAGAGGGGATGGGAGCTGGGACATTGTGCCTTGTTGATGTGCTGGAGACTTGTTGATGTTTGCTGCTGGGTGTGTCTTTCATTCCCCGCCCCCCCCCCCCTGCAGGACCCTGAGCGCCCTAAGCCCCCCCCCGCCCCCCCCTCCTGGCCTTTTCCTCCCTCATCTGCCTGCCTGTGTCTTTCTCTTGGGTGTCTTGCTACTTCTGCTCCGGTAGTATCCCTCTGGCTGGGACATCCCAGAGAGTGTATTGGGAGGACCTCACCCCCCCACAGTTGACGTAGATGAATCCTCTGCTCCCGCTGTGGCCTGCGTGCTAGGAGTGGGCCCCAGACAGGATAGGGAGCACTACATGGTTTTTTTGGGTGAGTGAGGGCATCCCTGGGAGGTTGGCTCTGCTCCAGCTGGGCCTTTGAAGCCAGGCCAGGCCTTTTTTCTCTCCTTGGGTGAGGGGGCTCCCGGACTGAGAGGTGACTAGGTGACTATGGGACCCGGAAAGACAGATTGCAGGTCCCACCTGGACTGGAGGTGGGCCAGGGGTGGGGAGGCAAAAATGATGTCAGAGGAGCTGCAGGGCCCACCATTCTTCTCCTCCTCCCCTAGCCCATCCCTGCCTTGTGCCTCCCCCTCCCCCCTGTTCTTCCCAGCCTGGTCGGTTGGGGGTGGGAGGGGAGAGAGGTGGGTAGAGAGGCAGGGCTGTTTGTGTTTCTCCTAAGTCAGGAAGTCGTGCAGATGAGTCAAGGTTGAATAGAGAGCCCCAGGCAGTGGTGTCCCGCCCCACCCTGACTCACCTGTCCCCCAAATCCCCTCACTTAATGGTCAGGGGCCTGCCCTGTCCTGGAGGGTCAGTGCCAGGTGCTGCAGGCAGCCTAACAGCACTGGCCTAGGTCTCCAGTTCTCCCAGGTCCTCCGAGGTTCCAGCCAGGGGGAGGGGTCCTGCTTCCTGTGGAGGAGGGGCCTGTGCTGCCTCTGTCCCCAGTGGGCATCTTTGTCCCAGCTCTCCTGTCCTTACTTGATGTAGGTGCCTATGCAGTACCTTTGGGCGATAGGTTGTGGGTAGGACCCTGGCCCTGCCTAGGGGTGCTGGGTGGCTCCAGACCAGTGGGTGGATAAGACAGGTGCATGGAATTGGCGCAGAGGCCGCAGCACAGTACAGAGCAGGAGCCCTTCCGTCTGGAAGTGGAAAATCCAGGAAGGCTGCTTGGAGGAGGTGGCCTTGGCATTGGGGCTTTAAGAAAACTGGGCAGGAGGAATCTGGAGAGGGTAACCAAAGTTTGGGGGTTGCTGGGGGTTGCTCTCCCAGGCTAGTCCTGTCCTTCTCCCTGCAGCTGAACCTGCCTCTTGCCCTCCTGGTTCCTGTCTTTCCCACCTCCTTCTCCCCTTCTGCGCATCACTCAGCACTTGGGCAGGCGTTGCCACAACAGACTCTGGCAACTAGGTCTGGCAACGAAGCACTGGAAAAACCTGGGGCAGAGCCCAGAGGAGTGAATGCCCCATGCTTAGGGCATGCTCGGAGACTGAGAGTCACACAGTCTGTGGCACACGGAGTCTGTTGCCGCTGCTGGGCTTGTGGTGGGGGGACCCTCTTAGCTCTTCCCCTGGGCAACGTGGCGCTGACAGAAGAGCACTGGATTTGGAGTCCAAACACTGAGTTCCACTCCCTGACTCACCTGTGACGGGGGCAAGAATGCTTCCTTCTCAGGAACTTGGTGTCCCCTTTTGCAAACAGGCTCACATTACCCTTCCCCAAAAGCTTGAGGGAAACTCCAGTTAGAGGGGGAGCGATAAGGTGCTGTGTCAGCTCCAAGGGGCACCCTGGCAGCTGTGTGATGTCAGGACATCTGGGTCCTCTTGGCCCCTCTCTATGGGACAAGGGCACAAGAGCGGCTGCTTTCAGCCCCCTCTTCTCCCTCAGATGTTATGGAGCTGGGTCTGTCTCCACCTCAGCTCAGCAGCTCCCCAGAAGACCTGTACCTGGCCCCTGGGACCCCTCCTGGGACTCCCCCACCTCCTGATGCCCCTCTTCCTGGGGAGGTGAAGAGGTCCCAGCCTTTGCCCATTCCGACCAGGTACAATGGGTGGATGAAGCTGAGGAGGGGCTGGTGGTGGTCGGGGGGGTTCAGTGCTGGGTAAGGCAGAAGCTTGCAGTCCGCAAATTCTCTGCCCCCCCTTCCTTGGGCCCCAGGAATCTTCTTCGAGAGGAGGAGCTGCGGGCAACCTCTCTGCCCTCCATCCCCAACCCCTTCCCTGAGCTCTGCAGCCCTCCTTCACAGACCCCCATTCTTGGGGGGTCCTCCAGTGCCAGGGGCCTGCCCCCTCGAGACGCCAGCTGCCCCCACGTGAGTTGTCTTGGGAGAGAGAAGGCAGGGATATGGGGGTGCTGTGGGACTGGGGTGGATATGGTGCCGCTCCCATAGAGGTGGGCGGATTTGGTCAGGGGTCCCTGTGGGTACAGCAGGCAGGGGAAGGGAAGGAACCACCCTCACCCTTCCTCGAGTCGTTGGCGATTCCTGGGTTGCAGGTAGTAAAGGTGTACAGCGAGGATGGGGCCTGCCGGTCTGTGGAGGTGGCGGCGGGCGCTACAGCCCGCTATGTCTGTGAGATGCTGGTGCAGCGAGCTCGTGCCCTGAGTGATGAAAACTGGGGGCTGGTGGAGTGCCACCCCCACCTAGCACTGGGTGAGCTGGGGTGCCAGGGGCTGTCTGGACAGGGAGGCGATGCTTTGCACCTTGGGCTAGGCAGGTGCCCACCTGGTCTCCGCCGACCCCTGCTGTTTGCCCTTGACCCCAGAGCGGGGCTTGGAGGACCACGAGTCCGTGGTGGAAGTGCAGGCTGCCTGGCCCATTGGTGGAGACAGCCGCTTTGTTTTCCGGAAGAACTTCGCCAAGTATGAACTGTTCAAGAGCTCTCCAGTGAGTGTGTGGGAAGGGGCTCCGGGCACTGGGACACCCCGATCCCCACCCTGGTTCCTTGACCCCTGACTCCTGAGTGCTTTCCCCCCAGCACACCCTGTTCCCAGAAAAGATGGTCTCCAGCTGTGTGGACGCACACACAGGCATATCCCACGAAGACCTCATCCAGGTAAAGGGACACCCCCATCCCATGGCATACTCATGATTGCCCAGGACCCCCTATTGGTTTTTTGGCCCTTAAGCATTTTGCCTCCCCTCTGTGTGGTGGAGAGTCTAGCGCAGTGCTCAGTGACTGGACAAGTCACTTTTCCTGGCTGACCGTCAGTTTCTTTGTCTGTGAAATGGGACAATAAATGTATGCTGTACGGCTTCTCTCCTGAAGGCTTGTGCATGTGTGTGCGTGTGCGTGTGTGTGTTCCTCTTGGCCTTTCACCCTCTCACCCTCTTCCTGCTCTCTTCCGGCCCCAGAACTTCCTGAATGCAGGCAGCTTCCCAGAGATCCAGGGCTTCCTGCAGCTCCGGGGATCAGGACGGAAGCTTTGGAAACGCTTCTTCTGCTTCCTGCGCCGGTCTGGCCTCTACTACTCCACCAAGGGCACCTCCAAGGTGAAGTCTTTTTTTTTTTTTTTTTTTTTTAAGATTTTATTTATTTATTTGACAGACAGATCACAAGTAGGCAGAGAGGCAGGCAGAGGGTGGGGGAAGCAGGCTCCCTGCTGAGCAGAGAGCCCTATGTGGCGCTCGATCCCAGGATCCTGGGATCATGACCTGAGCTGAAGGCAGAGGCTTTAACCCACTGCGCCACCCAAGCGCCCCTCCAAGGTGAGGTCTTGAGGGTTGACAGCCTCAGCCCCTGGGATATCCTATTCCCGGAGCTGTCTCTTCCCTTCCTGGAATGCCTAGATCTTTCTCCCCCTGCGCCCCGAGACCCTCCACTGCTCCTCTTTCCCTCCTGGCTCACCTACCCCAGGAGGTAGTAGTGGGAAAGGCAGGTGAAGACTGAGTTTGAATCCTGGCTCTCCTTCTGTTTGCTGTGTGACCTGGGGCACTTCTCTGCTCCTCTCAGAAATCTCCCCAGCTGGCTTACGGGGACAGCAGTTAGGGGGACAGGGGCTGCCTGTAACAGGTCCCACCTACCCATGCTGCCTAGGATCCGAGGCACCTGCAGTATATAGCAGATGTGAATGAGTCCAACGTGTATGTGGTGACCCAGGGCCGCAAGCTCTATGGGATGCCCACCGACTTTGGCTTCTGTATCAAGGTAAAGACTCCGGCTGGGCCTTGGAGGGAATGGGAGCTGCTCAGGCCCCAGGATCCCACCTAGAGCTTCTGAGCTCCATCTGGGACACCCAGACGCCTCTCCCTGCACCCTGCCCTGCCCCTCCGAGACAGACATCTGGTCCTAATGGCAGATATTGGACCCGCTGGTTTCCCCTTCCTACAGCCCAACAAGCTTCGAAATGGCCACAAGGGGCTTCGGGTCTTCTGCAGTGAGGATGAGCAGAGCCGTGGCTGCTGGTTAGCAGCTTTCCGCCTCTTCAAGGTGGGCCTCACCCTCCGGATCCCTTTTGCACGAGTAGCTCTGCCCTTGGGAACGAGAGAGCGCTGTAGCCTTGCTCTCTCCGTATGCCCGGGCCAAGGCTGAGTCCTGGCTCTGGCCTCAGAAAGCTCCTTATCCATGGCAGAGATAATCTTGCTCTTGGGGCATTCTGGTGGCAGGGGGGTTTCACAGCCCCGTCCCCAGCACCTGCTTGACCTTAGGCTCTCTTTCTCCCTCTGCCCCAAAGTATGGGGCACAGCTGTATAAGAATTACCAGCAGGCCCAGTCCCGCCACCTGCGCCCGTCCTGTATGGGTTCTCCACCTTTGGTGAGTGTGCACGGGGGCATTAGCTGGGCCTGGGCACCCAGGCCCCATCCTGGGGAAACATGGGCGCTCTTCTGACTCCTCCACATCCTGTCCCATCTACAGAGGAGTGTCTCTGATAACACCCTGGTGGCCATGGACTTCTCTGGCCATGCTGGGCGTGTCATCGAGAACCCCCGGGAAGCTCTGAGTGCAGCCCTGGAGGAGGCCCAGGCCTGGAGGGTGAGGGGCCCACAGCCATCTGCATGTTTGTCCTGGGGACCGTGTGTGTGTGTGTGTGTGTGTGTGTGTGTGTGTGTGTGTGTAAGAAGGGGGAGGGGCAGAGGAAGCAGGAGAGAGAGAGACTCTTAAGCAAGCTCTATAGTCAGCGTGGAGCCCAACTCAGGGCTCGATCTCACCACCCTGAGATCATGACCTGAGCCGAAATCAAGAGTTGGATGCTGAACTGGCTGAGCCACCCAGGTGCCCCCCTCCTTGTGGGTTTCCGTGGCATGGGAGGAAGAAGGGCGTAAGGGAGGTCCCCAGGTGCGGAAAGGGGCTCTGTATTCTCGAGGTGCTGGGTCATACCCCAGTCACGCCCTGATCCCCTGTGTCCCCCACTGCTCTACAGAAGAACCACCGTCTCAGCCTACCCACCCCAGGCTCGGGCACGAGCCTCAGTGCAGGTGGGTGAGCACTCAGTGTCCTCAGGGGCGGGGGCTGCCGTGGCTTCTTTGAGCATTCCTGGTGGGGGTGGCTAGGGTGGGGGGGGGTCTCCTCTCCAGAGTGACTGCCCTTCTGCGTTCCCCAACTCCAGCCATCCACCGCACCCAGCCCTGGTTTCACGGACGCATTTCCCGAGAGGAGAGCCAGCGGCTCATCGGGCAGCAGGGCCTGGTAGACGGGTAAGGGGCAGGCCTGAGCAGGAAAACAGACCCAGGGATAGGAGGGACCCTGTGTCGGGGTGGCAGCTCTGGGTCTTCAGGTGACATTGCCCTGTCTCCTGGCAGCCTGTTCCTGGTCCGAGAGAGTCAGCGGAACCCACAGGGCTTTGTCCTCTCCTTGTGCCACCTGCAAAAGGTCAAACATTATCTTATCCTCCCGGTGAGTCATCCCCGTCCTCCTCCTCAAGCCCCTGGAGCAGCTCCCCAGCTCCTCCCCCCGCCCCCACCGTGTGTCTGGGGTGTGTCTGGGGTCTCTCGGGGAGATGCCTGCGCCCCCGCACCTCCCCCGACCTGCTATCCCCTCTGGCTGTCCCCCAGAGCGAGGAGGAGGGCCGCCTCTACTTCAGCATGGACGACGGCCAGACTCGCTTCACCGACCTGCTGCAGCTCGTGGAGTTCCACCAGCTGAACCGCGGCATCCTGCCCTGCGTGCTCCGTCACTGCTGCACCCGAGTGGCGCTGTGACCCACCTCTGGCCGCCCGGGTGCGTGTGGAGCGGACTCCAGGGCCCAGAAGCTCCGGAGGGTTCCCCTCCCCTGGAGAGTGCGGTCTGCTTTGCTCCGTTGCCTCTCCCTCAGGCAGCAAGCGCCCCCGCCTCACCCCCCACCTCTCTTCTCAAGAAAAGGCACTGGGGGTGGGGGCTCCCCTCCACGGAGCTCCTGGGCGCAGCCCTGGGGCAGGGCATTATGGGAGAAATGGGGCAGCCCAGGTGGTCTTAGCCCCCCCACCCTTTGTACAGACTGAGAGGCCAGTTGATCTGCTTTGTTTTATATGAGTGACAATAAAGCTTATTTTTTGATATATCCGTGAGTTCTCTCTGGCAAGACCTGGCTAGTGGAGTGGAGCAGGGGAGTGGTAGAGGGGGGCACCAGGCCTTGGCAAATGTGTCAGATGGCTGGGGCCACGTGTCCTCCAGCCTGGACGTTTCTTGAGGACAGGGTGGTCTTGGTCATCGGAGTCTCCAGTGAATGAAAGCATGTATGAGGGACTGTCATCCAGGTGCCATCTCCTGACAGGCCCTAAAGGAAGTCCTGTGGGCCAACTGTTCAGATGAGTCCTGACAAACACGCAGTTAGGAATCTCCCACTCCTATCCGGATACATGGCCCAATACCTCTCCCAAGTCCTCATGACCCCCACATCAACCCCTCTCCCTCCTGCTTTCTTTTTTTTTTTCAAAGATTTTATTTTTTTAATTAGAGAGTGAGAGAGAGCACGAGAGCCGGGTGAGGGCAGAGGGAGAAGCAGACTCCGCTGAGCTAGGAACCCAATGTGGGGCTCGATCCTGGGACTCAGAGATCATGACCAGAGCCAAAGGCAGACACTTAACTGACTGAGCAACCCAGGTGCCCCTCCCTCCTACTTTCTGTCCTTATAGTTTGCTCCCTCTAGAAGGCCATATAAATGGGACCCCACAACACTCAGCCCTCTTAAGTCTCGCTTCCCTCTCCAACCCACCCTCCAACATCCAGAGTAATCTTTCCAAAATACAAGCCCAGATGGACCCTGTAGGGTCTGGGCTCTCCCCACTGCCCATGTTGGTCTGTTACAGTCTAAAAAGAGTTTTGTCAAAACATTTTACAGGTTTTGCTCTTAGGTGACAGGAGAGCTTTAAAATGACTCAAACTGGCAACACCTGGACCTGCCATTTGATCTTTAAATCACAGAGGAAGACCTCTCCAGACACGTGAGCTCCAACTAGGCATTATTTTTGCCAAGAAATAGAACCTCAGTCTCATCCCTTGGATCTAGCGGCTAGTTTATCAGAAAAAAATGGACAGAGGAACATGTGAAATGACACACGGGGATACGATTACCCAAATCCAGACTAGGAAACTACAGAGCAGAGAACCCAGCTTTGACAACAAAATTACAAGAAAAGATGGGGAATCTCTAGATCTCAAGAAATTCAGCCATACGTGTAATGTGTTGACCTTGTTTGATTCAAATCTGAACTAGCTAACTGTAAAAGACATTTATGAGCAATTGAGGGAAATTCAAACTCTGATGAGATATTTGATGATATTAAGGAATTACGGTTAACTTTTCAAGGGGTGATAATGGTATTTGTGTGTGCGTGTGTATGTGTTTAAGTCTTCATCCTTGAGAGATTCATCCTGAGGTATTTATAGGTGAAATGATGTCTTTGCTTTGCTTTAAAATAACCTCAAGGTTAGGGATGTGAGTATGGTCATAGGCTTGCCGTAAGTTGATAATGGTTGAAGCTGGGTGATGGGTACATAGGGATTCGTTAAATTCTTTAAATTTGTGTCAGCTTGAAAATTCTGTAATACAAAAAATTTTTAATGGAGAAATCTCTCCCCAAATCTTTGAGATTGGGCATGAGGTGGTGGTATCCTGTTTTGTTGGTGAGGAACCTGATGGCTCAGCGAGACCTGCCCCAAATTACGGTTAGTGGGAGAGCCAGGATTTCAACCCAATACAGGTCTGGGCTGTTCTGCTGCCCCTGCCTGGCTGACTTCCAGGTGGAATTCCTAAGTGGTCTGCGGGGGTGGGGATGGGGAGGAGGGGTGGGGGTGTTTTCCCTTGGAGAGCCCCTCCCTTCTCTGTAGCCCTGGTCTCTGGCTGGGGGGGAGGGGGTTGTCCTGAGGTGACCCTGAGAAGGACCAGCCACCACAGCAGTCCTTGGGCCAGGCTTCTCACCCCCAACCTTTGGGGCTGGGGAGCCAGGCCTGTCAGACAGAGGGGGGAAGGTAGGCCTCATCCACCCTCTAGCTTAGAACCTTCTGGGGACTTACCCTGAAGAAATTACTGCGGCCAGGCATGAGAGAGGTACAGGTTTTGTTTCTTGTTAGCAGGACTCCCTCAGGGAGCAGGGACCAGAGCAACCTGTTGCCTGCTGCCTGCCATGGTTTCCAGAACCATCCCATCACCAGCTCCTCCTCGGGCCTGAGCTGACTGGTACTGGCTATGTGACTGGCCAGGGATGCCCAGGTCCCCTTCTAAGGTGTGGGTGCTAGGGGTCCATGCTGGGGTGGGAGAAAAGGGGCCAGAATGAGTCATGTCCAGGGATTTAAGCTGTATAAAAACAGAGCCCAGTGTCTCTTCATAGCCTGAGGTACCAGTCAGGGGACAATGGCCTTCTATGTCAATCAGCTAATTAGAGTATGTGGCACAGATATCGTTTTCACTTCATGCAGAGGAAACAGAGGCTCAAAAAGCGTGACCCATCTGAGGTCTTATATGGAGTTAGAGGCAGAGGTCAGACTCTGCCCAGCTTTAGGTGGTAGAACGTAGCCCTTCTCTGCCCTTCATTCTCTGCCCCCTCTGTTCTTTTTTTTTTTTTTTTAAGATTTTATTTATTTATTTGACAGAGAGATCACAAGTAGGCAGAGACGCAGGCAGAGAGAGAGGGGGAAGCAGGCTCCCTGCTGAGCAAAGAGCCAGATGCAGGGCTTGATCCCAGGAACCTGAAGTCATGACCTGAGCCAAAGGCAGAGGCTTAGCCCACTGAGCCACCCAGGTGCCCCTACCACCTCTGTTCTTAGTGCTGGCTACTGTGAAGGACCTGGACCACTGCGGACCCTTTGAGGAGGCAGCTGGCTTGACCCTGAGCGGCACACTGGCAATCAACAGATGAATGTCCTTGCTGGGTGGCTGAGATCTCTGACTTCTTGGAGGAGAGGCAACCGCTGAGAATGTGGGGGACAAGGGCCCCTCAAGATCAGCTTGCAGAGGGACCCAGGACAAGACTCCCCAGCTCTGAAGACGTGGGAAGGCTGCTGTTCTACTGCCGAAGAGGCTGAAGCATGACCCACAGAGGCCAGATGGCAGAAGGGACTTCCAAGGACAGCTGCAGTGTGGCTAGTGGAGGCCTGTGGATATGATGGAATCTGGGCTGCTGGGAGGGCATCAGGGGCCTTGTGGAGAACGTACAGACCAGCACCTAACAAACTGTCTTTTCAGTATCAAGTTATTGGGTTTGATTTTAAAAAGTGTATGTGATTTTTTTTTTTTTTAAAGATTTTAGTTGAGGGGTGCCTGGGTGGCTCAGTGGGTTAAAGCCTCTGCCTTTGGCTCAGGTCATGATCCCAGGGTCCTCGGATCGAGCCCCGCATCAGGCTCTCTGCTCAGCAGGGAGCCTGCTTCCCTTCCTCTCTCTCTCTGCCTGCCTCTCTACCTACTTGTGATCTCTGTCTGTCAAATAAATAAACAAAATCTTAAAAAAAAAAAATTTTATTTGAAAGAGAGAGCAGGGGGAGGGGCAGAGGGAGAGGGAGAGAGAGAATCTCAAGAAGACTCAGCCCAGAGTTCAGAGCCTGCCTAATGTGGGGCTTGACTCATGACCCTGAGATCATGACCTGAGCCAAAATCAAGAGTCAAATGCTTAACCCACTGAGCCACCCCAGCGCCCAAAACGTATATGTACTTATTAAAGAACATTTCAGAAATCAGAAAAAGACTTTGGAAAAAAAAAAAAAGAAGATTCCCTGTCATCTCCCTGAGGGGGAGCCAGGCTTTGACAGGGGGTGACACAGGGCCCCTATCCAGGGGCTGGCCAGAAATGGTCTGTAGCACATCCTGGACACCAGCTCTTAGGGCTATTATGACTGGTGTGAGCCTGGAGCCGGGGTATGTGGCTCACCCCCGGCCTGTAGGAGGACGCGGCCACAGGGCTGACCTCCCTGCCTGGTCAAGTGTGGAGGGCAGGGAGGGCTGCTGGCAACTTTCTGGACTTTGAGAACAGGTGAGCATGATTCTAGGGAAGCCCACCTCCGGGATGCCCTAGGTGGGACATCCAGACAGACAAAGCTCTGGACAATTGATGCTTTCACTGATCCCCAGATATCCTGTTCAGTGAAATCTACACGGACTCCAAGTTCATGGGTGGAGGGCATCCTGGTGCCAGCGGTGAGTTCAACATTGGGTCAGTGATCCTGCCTGGCTCCTTCCTTGTGCCCAGTGCCAGGCACCCTGAGGAGGGAGGGAGGAAAGAAGAAAAGGAGATAGGCAAGAGAGACCAAGGCTATTCAGAAGGATCCTTTCTTCCAAAACGTCTACATAAGCAGTTTTCTACTGCCTTTCTGTAGTCCAAAGGTTCCAGCAGGAGTTGGGAGGCAGGTTGGGGTGGGGTTGGGGAGAGCGTTGCCTTTGTATATGGTAGTTCGCCTTCATGGTATAGTTGGAAAAAAGGCTTCCATGACTATAGGACTGGTCTAGCAGACAGAAAAGAGGGCCCAATCACACAGAGGTGGGGTTTGTGGCAGAGTCTGCTTTCCTGTCCCATGCTGTTGGCAGAACCTTAGCTTTGGGGCTAGGGAGTGAGGTGCACAGTGTGACTTCTTAGGACAGAGGATTCTCAGTTTCCAGCTGGGGCAGGGAGTTGAGCAAGGAGGGAAAAGACATCAGGATCTTGGGGAAGTTGGTGTTGCAGACTGGAGTCTAGAGCCACAGAATGGGTGTCCCTGGGGGCTGAGACTGGTCCCCAGGGGTTCTCCAAGATCTCCATATGGGTAGGGGTGTTGGGAAGTGGGGGTACTATCTAGGCTGAGATGGATTGTGCCCTACCGGGCCTTAAGGAAGTCTGAAATTCAGTCCCTTGTGGGGTGAGCTGTGATGGTAGCTAGCGCCCTATGGGAGGAGGGCTGCATCTGGTCTGAGAAGAGGCAGGTTTTTCTCTGCTGGGTACCTGGAGGGGTATTAGCTGGAGCTGCATTTTCATGGTGGGAAGTTTGCTTTTACTTGGATCAGGTTTATCTTGGAGTGGTTTAGGGGAGACTGAGGGAGGCTGGGAGGTCACCTGCACCTCCACAGAACTGCTGCAAAGGCCGTATTCCTCTACGTTTACCTGAACACCTCGTCCCCGAGGTAGATCCAGGACGTGATAGAAGTTGGTATTCCTACCAGACACGAGAGCGATTTTTCAAAGGATGCCAGGGCATCTCCTCCCTCCCAGCCCTCTTACACCCATCAGTCCCGATACAGGTTCCCACCTTTTGGTTCTCTTCTTCCCAGCTGAGCCACCGCGTCCCACAACAGCTAAGGAATGACCTGGCGGTGGTGGTGGGAAGGGCAGCGGCACGAGTAAGGCGAGAGTAAGGCGAGACCTGAGTCGGACGAGGCAGGAGTCGGAGTGGGGATCCCGCCGTCGCTCGGGTCCCCCAGCACGTGCGGAACTGGCCCTGCCCCCGCTGCCCGCCCCTGGGCTCCCTTCTCTCTGCGGCCTGCACGCGGTTGCTCGACGAAAGGGCGCCGAGCCGTCTAGGGGCTGCGGGCGCGGGGTAAGTCCGGCCCGCTTCTCCAGGGGGCGCGCTCGGGGGCCGCAGAGTACGCGCTTCGGTCCCCGGTCCCCAAGGAAGGAGGCTCGCGTGGCGCCACAGCCGTGGGCCCGTTCGTCGCGGGGCACGGAGTTAGGTTGTTCTTCACTCCAGTTGGTGGGCTGCGTGGGGGGCCTCCGGACGCCAGGCGGGGAGGGAGGCCTGAGCGCCGCAGCCAAGCTTCTCGGGGCCTCAACGGCGAAGGCCGGGCAGGACCTGGTGGGCGCCGCGGGCGGGGCGCTCTGGTTCCCCGGGACCCGCGCCCCCGCCTCCTGACGGCGCCCGAGCCTCTCGGGCGCGTGGCGGCAGTGACACCCAGTGGCCGTGGCGGAAAGTGCAGGCGCCGCCCCTTGGCTCCCGCTGCGCAGGTCGACGCCTCTCGAGGTTCCCACTCGTGGTTACGCGCGGGCACCCCCAGGAGAGAAGGCCGCGCTCTGCAGACTGCCCCTCGGGGCACTTCCCCTTCCCCTCCCCCAGTTTCCTCCCGGCAGTCGCCTGAGCCCTGGGAGATCCTGCGGGGCTGCAGTGCCCCGAAGGGCGGGGCGGGGCGCAGCGGCGGCGCTGGGCTGTGACCCGGAGCAGTTTCACTTCTGGATCCTACCCCGGTGTGAAGGGACAGCATCTGGGGTGGGGGTGGAGGTGGGGGGGAGACACACAGGCGTGCGGAGGGCTGGCGCTCAGGACCCCAGAGGGGGGATGGCTTTTTACCCCCGGGTGTCACGCGCCCCATGCCTCCCTGCATTTTCCACCCCCACCCCACGGGTTCCACCACGCTGTCCCCGGAGCTGCCGCTCCTCCCCAGCAGCAGCCTCCGCGGGGGCTGTCGACCCCCGGAGAGGCCCCGAGCGGCGTGGGCGGCAGGAGGAGCGAGCTGTGAAGCCGCAGGCAGGGGGTTAGGCTGCGGGCTGCTGAGACGCCGAGCTGTTTCTCAGAAGTGCAGCTGCCCCTCCCCTCACACCCCCCTCAGCTCCCACCTCGCACCGCACCCCTTCCCCCTGCGCCTGGCCTTCGCTGTCCTCGCCTGGGCACTCCCAACCCGGGAATCTGGTGTCTGAGTCCACGCAGAATTCAGAGAACCTAAGAGAGGCCAGGGCCGGGAGTTAAGACCCAGGCTCCGTGCCCATTTTCGGAGGCCACAATTCCACTGTCACCACCCCGTCCCCCAGACTCCTGTGGGCCAGGATTGGAATTTCATAGAATGGTTTACAACGTGGCCACTTGGGGAGATCATAGGCCGCCATAACCCTTGCTTCCAGGGCCCCACCTCCCTCAGTGCCTGAGTGTGATGGGGAGAGAAGGGAGAGAGCACAGGACCCTCTTTCTCTCCTCTTCTTTCTGGAGTTAGAGGAAAGGCCTGGCTGGAGCCTGGGGGTTGAGGCTAGGCTTAGTCTCCGTTGGAAGGAACTTCAGAGATCCAGTTCCAGGGAAAAATTAAGGCCGGGAGAGGGAAATGGAAGTGTCCAGGGTCCCCGAGAGAGTGACAAGGCTGGGGTTGGAAGCCAGGAGTCCAGACACTGAGCAGGAGTCTGCACCGGTTTGTCATTTGCTTTATTCATTGACCCTGTCTGTATCCTCTCCCCAACCCCAAGAGTCTAGGGAGGGTGGCTAGGGCCTGTGAGTGACAGGGAGGTTGAGGTGCTGAGACTAATCCAGTGGGGGTGGAATGGGGATTGACCTGGTGGAAGGACAAGCCTGGGGAGGAGGTGGCATCTGCCCCCCTAGTTCCCACCAGCCGCCCCCAGGGCTGTGGTTTATTTGACTAGGCAGCTCTTCTAGGGGGCCTGAGGGGCGGGGTGGTGATGGGAAAGACTGCTGGAGGGCTTCCTGCCCCATCAGTCCTGGGGAAGGGGGGCAGCCTACATCACCCACAGGTCCTCTAACCTCCATACTTTCCACTGCAGTGCTCTTTCCTTGGGTAAATTCATGTTCTTCTGGGGGAAGATCTGTTATTTGGGGAGGCAGGGAGGCAGCTGCCTACTTCACAGGTCAGGACAGAGTTAAAAAACAAAACCGCAGCAAATTCAACACCCCGTGTCCTTCAGGGACTTTCCATGACACCTTCCTTCCCCCTCTCCCCCAAGCCAGGGAGTACCTCCCCAGAGGGCCTCCCCACCCCAGGTGCAGTGGCTTTTGGCTTTTATGCAAACAACTGTCTGACTGGGAATGCTCTGCAGCTAGAACTGGTGTCCCCAGCCCCGCTCACTCCCCCACCAGCCCTCGGCATTCCTGGCCTTCCCTGAGCTCTCTTCTCCGCTTTTCCTCAAACTCTGGGTGCTAGGGAATGGGAGGTGAGGGAAGGGACACAGGTCCTTGTCCCCCTGCTTGCCCTTGGATGGCAGTTGCCAGCAGGTGGAGGTTTGGGCCCCGCAGCCTGTGTGATTGGCCTGGTTGTGTTGAGGGATGGGGGAGGGGGAGGAAGAATGTGCAGGTGTGGGGTGGCCTCCCCTGCTAGGGCCCACCACCCTCTGAAGTGTCACATGAGTTCCCAAGAATTAGGAAAGGAAACTGTCCTTAGGCTGGAAGCCCAGCCAGCCCCAGAGCTGTCGCCATTGCTCACTGGCAACTAGGAACAGGTCTCCCGGCCTCCCTTACTCTTGAAGCTGCTTTTGCTTTGGGAAGGGAGTGGGGAGGAGGAGGGCCACATACCACTCTCTCTAAGGCTGGGACTTAGGCACCCATAGGCCACTCTGCAATGGATTTAGTGTTACACTAAAAAGGCAGGCGGCGACACAATTCCTCTCTCCCTGCCCTGAGCGCTGGGACTGCAAAACGGGCTGGAGGGCCTCCCAACAATCTGGCCCTGTGGGAGGGAGGTGGGTGGTGCTGAGCGGGGAGCCAGAGGAGGCTGCCACCGACCGGACCCCACCTTTGTTAATCCTAAACTTCAGAAATGGCTTCTTCCTGCCTCGCTCACAAAGGAGGGGAAAGGGAAGATGTTTTGGAAGAGGCTGAGCTGAAGCCCAGATCATCTCCTAGACTCTTTACTGACATGTTCTAAGAGAGAACAGAAGACAGCAAGTCAGGGAGAAAGCTGGATAATTTCTATGTCATTCTCCTAGGACTTTGTCTTCAGCGCCTTAGGTTTGGGCCTCCAAGTATCTTAAGACTATATTTTAAATGCAGCTGGGGCCCCTGGCTGGCTCATTCAGTAGAGCATGTGACTCCTGATCTTGGGGTTGTAAGTTTGAGCCCCACATTGGGTGTAGAGATTACTTAAAATCTTCTTAAAAAAAAAAAAAGTAAAAAGGCAAGTGTGGCTGAGTTTAGTGATGGCACTTGAATTTCCCAGATTCCCAAGAAATTTGGATGTTTCTGAGACCCCAGAGATGAAAAAGCCAGGACTTGTCTATCTTCTAGAAACAGCCTCTGCTGAGAGCAAGGGCAGAGCTGTGTCTTGGAACTGGGAGACACTGCGGTGTTGATCCTGCCAAATCCAGTTCCCAAATTTCTCGGGCCCCCTTAGAGAGCTAAGGGCCAGTGGAACCAGTGCCCCACTCTAGCGGGCTGGGAGCCAGAAACAGGATGCCAATGGCAGGCTCAGCAAGGCATCAGAACAGATGCCTTATTTTGGTGGTAATTTGTTTACCTTGGTACTTGGACTAAGACATAGCCAGAGGGGCTAAATTAAGAAAATAGTCCTAGGGGCGCCTTGGTGGCTCAGTAGTTAAGCGTCTGCCTTTGGCTCACTTCATGATCCCAGGGTCCTGGGATAGAGCCCTGCATCCAGCCAAGCACCTGCTTGGCAGGAAGCTTGCTTCTCCCTCTCCTGCTCCCCCTGCTTGTGTACCTGCTCTCGCTGTCTCTCTCTCTGTCAAATAAATAAATAAAATCTTAAAAAAAAAAGTCTGAGAGGCAAAATTAAACCCTTCCATTTTCTGACAACTACAAATGATAGGCATGCACAATGACTAATTTTAAACACACCAGTATTTTTTATTTCTCAGTATAAAAATCAAACATGATACAGAAACCTTGAAATCTATCAGCAGGTTTTTTTTTTTTTTTTTTTTTTAAATGTGACGATGCACTCATTATGGTTCTGGCAAGGTTAGCATTGCTACATTTCAGAAGCTGACTTTCTTTAAACAGTCTTTACAGAGGAGTAGGACACCTTATAGTGCTCCCAATGGTTGGACTCTGGGTAAAACTCAAGAGGAGTTAAGAGGGAAGGTCACTGCTGGGCAGGGAGGGCATTTCTGAGAAACCCAGATGAGAATGTTATGAGCACAGGCCGTGTCAAAACCACTCGGCAAGGCCTCCCTCCCTTCCTCCCTGGGGGAAGGCCACCCTGAGCCCCTTTGAACCCCCAAACCAGGTTCCCTTCTTCCCCCATCATTCTGCAGACAAGGGTCATCCACAGACCACACGTGTGGTGGCTTTGGCAACCAGAAATTAAAAATAACCTATGGTTTTTCCAGTAGCCAAAATGATCCCTCACCAAAGCTCATAGACTGAGAACCTGAACATGCAAAACCACAGTCTGGGTGAAGAGATGTCTGCTTTTCAAATGACCTGCTAATTCTTTGCAACCCACAGTAATTTGGTTTCTGTGAACCCACAGAAGCAGGCCCACCAAAAAGGGTTTTTGTTTGCTAACCTGGAAAAGTCCTTGTATAAATGAGTCACTGGCAATGGGATCATTTTTAATGCTGCCCCATTTTCCTAAAGTGTTAAAATGTCTGTTCTCAGTCTTTTTAGGAGAGGAAGAAGCAAAGTAACTTCAGAAGCTAGGTCCCACAGGCTTGAGAGGAGGTGGGTGACATTTTGGGATGCTCTCCAGGCTTTCTAGAGTAGGGTCAACAGGGAGATGGACAGTGAGGACCATTTGAGGAAACTCTAAGTTACTCGGGGAGTCGATAATCAAGAGCTCATGAGACAGGGAGGGAGCAAAGCCATTCTACTTCCCTGGCTACAATGTCATGAAGTATCTTTACCATGAAGTTCACTTATATTGGTTCTAATTGTCAGCATATTCTTTACTCTTACACATTAAAATAACATGAAGGAAACTCTGTGTTAGAGATTAAAGGCCTCCACTGGCTACTGAATTACTGAATCATGGTCCTAGTATGGCCTTTGAATATCTCCATCTCTTTAAATTCACATACAGTGCATACAGTAGAAAACCTGTAACCATCCCAAACAGCCCCCGCCCAGTAACACCAACCCCTAGACAAAACTACATAAGAGCTCATAACATCCTCGGGAGGTAGATACTACATCCTTACATTTTTTAATCAAAACATTAACATTCCATTTTCAAATGTTGGGTTGGCGTTGGTGGTATAGTGGTGAGCATAGCTGCCTTCCATTTTCAAATGTCAGCTCAATCAGCATCAATGTATACGATAGTCCAGTCTTGTAATATTCAGAGGAAACTTGCATTCAGCTTTTTCAAAGTGCAAAGACCTGGTTATCATGTTGACGGCACGGTGGGGTACACACTATCTACAGCTTGGGTGAATGGAGCTACAGTCTTGTGTTCTGAGCTCACAAAAGTCTAAAGCCTACACTTCTCTTGAGCTCTTCTGAGTCCACCATCCTTAGAGACAGCGGTGTCCAGCCCTGGCTTCGCTGATCATTCACAGAACCGTTCAGTCCTTCAGCTTTAGAGAACAGAATCCTTTTCCTAGGGTGGCCCAGGTCTAGCCTTTGGTTTCAGGCCAAAATTGTCTTCTTTACAGGCAAAATCCATTGTTTTTCTGAACTCTGCCTATAGAGAGAGGTTCTCTGATCTATACTCTCTGAGCATAAAAATAGCTCCCAACTTTTTAAAAGAGAAGAGACATCATTGTGTATCTCTTATCTTCCTGTGCAAAGCCTGATGGTATTTTCTAGGACAAAATTTACTTTGCTCCACTTTCTTTTTACTTTTTATTTTTTAAGATATTTATTTATTTATTTGACAGACAGAGATCACAAGTAGGCAGAGAGGCAGGCAGAGAGAGAGGAAGGGAAGCAGGCTTCCCTGCTGAGCAGAGAGCCCAATGCAGGACTCGATCCCAGGACCTGGGATCACGACCTGAGCCAAAGGCAGAGGTTTTAACCCACTGAGCCACCCAGGCACCCCATTCACTCCACTTTCTTGTCTTGAGCTCTTAAATCTCAATTCCAAGTCTTTGTGAAAGAGCTTGGCTGTCTCTGAAGGTTCAAATCTTGAGTGGTCTGGAGTTTCTAGATCTCCACTAGAGACCAATGGATCTGTTATCTGTGGGGTACACTTTAAAGTTAGGACACTAACCATTTAATATTTCCATTACGATCTTACTGCCTGTGTTGGGCTTTTTCCTTTAAAACATGCTAAACCTCACATTTGGCAGAGGGGAAAAAGCAGAGGAGGAGAGTAAGAACAGTGATACAGAGACTACTTGGAAAAACTTTATGTTGGTGTGAGATTTGTTCATAACACAGTGTTTCAACTAAGCAAAATTTTGTGCTTTTTTTCTTTGCAAAAGAAATCTGAGGTCACTTTATATCTGGGCCACTGTGAATATGGGCCTAGCAAAATGTTAAGCACTGCATTTAAAAGGTGAGAAATGCTGTCACTGACAAAGTCAGAAGCTGAGTCAGGAACAGCTCAGAGTCAGTAATAAGGCAAAAGATTAGTTAGCTTATCTGTGTCAAGGCAAGTATCTTTTAGGGAGAATGACTTAAGGAATCTAAAGGCTGGTGGATTTATCTATATCTTTTTTCCCCGGGTAGTGGTGGTGGAAGATAATGGGGGAGACACTTCTGTTTAGTTCTTGCCAGTAGGAATTACCTGTGCAACAATTCAACAGGGGTGATGAGGAACATCTGGAGAGCCAGTTCCCTTCCCTTCCCCCCTCATCCCAATTCTGTCACCTTGGCTGCAAGGGAACTTATCGTGGGGTTGGTTGTTCCCTGGATTGTGGCCCCCTGGGTGTGTGGTGGGAAGTGACGGACAGCTCAGATCTACAGGGCGCATGTCAGAGGGACTCTGAGAAAGGAAAGGTACTGTCTAAAGCTGCTGCAGGACCTCACTGTCCAATGTGGTTGGATGTGAATCCTGACTCTGCCCTTCTCTCTAAGCGACCGTGCTAAGATTGTCCTTCACCCTCTCCCCCACCCCCAGCACGGGGAAAGGGCATTTATTGATAAAAGCGGTGCCTACAGAAGGACATGTTTACCAATGTGGTGATAGCCACTACATACTACCTGGTTCAACTTGATGGTTTACAAATGTGGAGTTTGCATATACAAATTTTCTCTGCACTCTGGTGTGCTCCAGCTAGGCCCAGAATGCTACAGTGAAAGTAGCATTTGTGAGTGGTCACCACACTTAGAAAACTGACCTCAGAAGAATGGAAATCATCCAGAAAATCTGTTAGTCACAGGGAAAATGAGGCAAGTCTTCAAAAAAAAAGTCCCCAGCTTAGCGGGATGGGCCTCTTTCACTATCTTAAGGAGCCAACACTGGTTTCTTCAGAAAGAATTTCCCACTAATCTGTTGGAAATGCTTGCTTTCCCCAGTTTTCTCTCCAACCAATTCTTGCTTCCAAATTCTCTTTCTTTTGTCCCCTGAAGAGTCAACAGGACGTGTGGCATTTCCAGAGTATAACAAGCAGCTCCTCTGCCACAACGCGTGTCAGTAACCTGGCGTAGCTTGGAGTCTAGGATTACGGAAATACAGTGAAATGCTGAGGACTATGAACTGAAATGCATCCAGTCTTTTAGCCGAAATCTCAAACATGTTGGGACTGTTACCATGGAATTTCACAAAATCTGTTTTCCTGAGACAGACACCATGCTACAAAGAAGGCTAAGCCATTTGTGCAGTCTGAGGGGGAACATTTTAGTTACTGGCAGCACATCAGTTAGTTGAGTTTGAGTCTAATGCCTAAGCCCTTTTGAAATACCAAGGCAGATATGTAAAATGCAAATCTAACAGGAATTGGGGATTCTTGACTCTGGTAGAAGTGTGCACAAAACTACTCTCAATTTGTAAATAGATTCCATGAAGTTGTCCCTGGAAGCAGAATTTATTCTAACACGAGTTCTTAAAAAAGAAAAAAAAAAAAAAGGCTTTGGCAAAGCAGTGGCAGGTGTCACTTTGTGTGTATACTTTGGGGCAAGATCAAAATACCTTCCTGTTTTTTGTTCCTCCCCACCATCCTCTTCACATTCACAACTCAGTAGTTAAAGGAAAAATTTAACACTACCATTTTCACACCAAAGAAATGTGAAACAGGTATTCATATACATATTCTCCTGCTTAATACCCATACATGAAAAGGCTTAAAAGATAACTGGGGTTACAGCATAATCACATAAAGTTAAAGCTGGAAGGGACCTTAGAGAGCATCTAAGCCCAATTCTTTATTGTTGAAGAAACTTAGTTTTAAGAGTTTAGTGATTTGCCCAAAGTCATATAGCTAATTAGCAGCCACTATGGAATTTGCAAACAGATTTTGGGACCTCTACTGCAGTACTAATTTTACAATTATCCCTGCACTTTTTCCTTGATAGCATATATCTCATAATTAATGACAAAGCTGGCCAATAGATCTGCAGAACCAAGAGCAGACTTTCAGGAATCTTCCTGGCATACAGCAGCTTAAAACAGGGAGAAAACCCTATCCGCCTTGATGAAGGAGAACCTGTCAGCAGAGGTACGCCTCTCTTCACTTCTTCAGGAAGCTTAACACTGACCGAAACAACACTCATGATATCTGTCCCTGATTCCTCTCCTGTGGGCAAGGGGAGACTAAGTCATGCTTTTTGGATTGTCTGTTTTCTGTAAAAAAAAAAAAAAAATCATCGGCAAGTTTGCCTTAGGTCTGTATACTAATGCTCCATGAAGGAGACCAAGAACGTTCGCATAGCTGCACCCCTCCTCCTGGGGTGCTGCTAAACTATTTCCCCCTCAGAGTCCAGTTCTGCCATTCTCGACCACGGGAAATGGATGCCTTAACAGACAACTTCGTGAAGTTTCAATGATAGTCTATGTTTAAAACCATTAGTTCTTCTGGTATAGAATTTCTCTTATACAGGACTGGTTTAACCCAAAGCAGCTTTTTAATTGGTATGGGAGGGTAGAAGCAGAAGTATCATCGAATAACTTGATTTTTTTTTCCTTGTGTGATAAGAAATGGGTCTGCTGCTTGGAAACTGGGGTCTTCAGTAACTGGTAACAGATACTTATTTTATCACTGTTCTTTTCCTTACTATTAGACTCTAATTAGGGACGAGGAGATTATATCCTAGACTTTCAGCCTCTGTTAAGTGCAGAAGGGCATGTCTTCCCACCGAGGTTAGCTGGTGAGCTCTTCTTGTGGACCTGGGTGAATGACTTTTCCACGTATGACATTGTATCTCAGAAAGGAAGTCTCATGCAGCACAGCTGGGGGACTCTTTTGACTGGCAACAAACTCCAAGGACTGCTTGTTCTATTGCTGCAAAAGGTAATGACCAAATACTTCATTGGCTTTTAAATGTCATAAAAACTCAAGTCCCCGATGAGAAAACAAAGGTCTCACAAGAATAACATGATATATCTGCAAACAATTTCTGAATGAAGACAGCATTTCTCTGTTGTCCATGTGAACTTGACCCTTTGGACACTAAAAGTGGTATGGAAAGGGGTTTGGAACTGAGTTTGTTTGGAGAATAACTTGTTAGGTGGGGTGTCGGTTTCTACAAATGATGTCGAATGCTCAGGCATAAATCATCTCTGGGACCAGATGTTCACTTTAGCATAGCTCTGTGCTCTCCTCTGGCTATGTGAGACGAGAACTCATACCGATCATGGCTTCGATATCCACACATGTTACACTCAAAAGGGTCACGAAAGCCGTGGCAACCCATGTGAATAGTGAACATCACGTAATCCAGGAAGAGGACTCGACAGTGGTCACACCGATACACATCCATCACCTCCCCTTCTTTGCTGATCACTTTGATGGAGTCTCTCGGACAGATGGGTGGGGGCTTGAGGAGTTCATAAGAGCGGGGGACCTCCTTCAGAAGTGGTATCCCATTGCGGGCCCTAGGGGGAACCATGTGATTTTGCTGGTAGATGTGATTCTGGCGTTCTTCGTGGTTGCTGTCCGTGTCCGTGGAGTCATGGCCACTATTGTTGGGGGAGAGGCCTCTTTCAGAGGGCAAGCTCTTCTCTGGCAGGTGGATATTCTTCTTTTCTAGGTCTTGGGGGGAACCATTTGGCATTTCGGCACGGGTGAGGGCTATGGGATACATACTGCTAATAACTGGAACCATCTCTGAGGTGGGAGCAGGTGGGGTCTGGACCAAGGGGCGCAGGGCTTCGGCACCAAGGTAGCTGATGGCATTATTGATGGCTTGGTCCATCATCCGGGTCTGGATTATCTCACTCTCTTTCTCGTACATATAGCTAGGATTATAGTTGACGTCAAAGCAGTGGCGCTTCTCACCTAGAAGTGAAAGAAAGAATTACAAGAGGAAGAACACAAAGGCAGAGTTTGTTAAATAATCTTCCAGAGTCCTTGAAAAGGGAGGAAAGACCTGCGGCTTGCTTAAGAACACCCAGCCCAGGCAGGATGCTTCCATTCGGAGCTGGGGACAATCTCAAGGGACAGTGGCTGACAGCACACATTTGGATAGTCAAAATGAACTAAGCCAGTAGGCAAAAGGGGGAGTCAGAGATGTTGTTAAGCTGAAGCTACGACGTGAGCTGTTTCTACCGCTCACATCAGAGGGGAGTGCTGGAGAAAAGCAGAGAAAAAGAAACAAGAGGACAACAGAGCAGGTGCCAGGGAGCTAGGGAGCTGCCCCTGTGCAGGAGCGTGGCCACCTGTGCACTCCGACTGTCCATGGCCTCTCAGCACCCAGTCAATTCCCAACTATTATTGTGCTTGTTATTTTCTGCTTGTAATACAAGGGAGCTCGGGGGACGGAAGTGCTGCAAGAAGTGGAGACACTCAGCAACTGGCCTCTGCAGCTTTTTAAATAGCTACAGAGGCAGAAAAAATAGCCCCCAAACCTCCAACTTATCACTCCCCAAACACATTGTCACCAGACTGAGATTTAAGTAAAAGAACTTCAAATGTAGAAAGTTTTAGAAAAGTTTTCTTGGAAGATCATGGTCTTTGTCCCTTTCATAAAGTATATTATTCTTTTGCTTGAAGAAACAGTACCATTGATACACATGTGATCATTAGGGCCCATCTCACATTTAACTGAAAAATTTATTTGTGGTCACCCTCTCCTACTGTTCATGTCAAACTGCTGAGAAATTCTGAAAACAGAGTTTAGCCACCTTTGGGGCGTGTGGGTGTTGTGTGTTAGAAAACAGAGGCTCTCTGGCCACAGGGAAGGCAGGAGCAGGGTATGCCGTGATGGCAGATGTGCTCGGTGGTGAGTGGCTGGTAGAAGGCAGAGAAAGCAGGGAGGATGTGTCAGGTACTGAAAGTGAGGCTACCGTATCGCTGATGCTTTTCCATTCTGCAGACACTAGATTCTGGAGAGATTTGCTGAACCATATCCTCTCTTCTGCAACACTCCCTAGGCATGTTATGGTTCCCAGACCTGTCACTGCCACACAGTAAAGGGTCCAATAATAAGAACACAAGAAAACAAAATAATTGGAAAAACCAGTTCCTGTTCTTGAGGAATCTTCAACTTAGTGGGAGAGAAACAAGACCTGTATCCATGGAATCGGAAAAAAATAAATGTTAGAAGTTGTGAAAGAGCTGTCCTGCTCTGTGGGGGCCTTTGATTTTATTCATTTTTTAAAAGACTTTATTTATTTATTTTGAGAGGTGGGGAGGAGAGCACTAGTGTGTGCAAGTGGGGAGAGGGGCAGAGGAAGAGAGAGAATCTCAAGCAGACTCCACACTGAGGGCAGAGCCTGACAAGGGGCTCACTCTCATGACCCTGAGATCACGACCTGAGCTGAAATCAAGAGCTGGACCCTCAACAAACTGAGCCACCCAGGAGCCCCTGATTTTATTCTAAATGCCATGTTTGAGGCACTTAAGCAGGGGAGTAACATGTCTTCTGTAAAAAGAATTATAAGGCAAGATTACAGCAGGTTGGTGTAAATTGCGTATTTAAGTGTTAAGGAAGTGCAAAAAATTCAGGAGTACCTGGGACAGGGAAAGCATTTCTTAGAAAACCCAGATTTTGAGAAGAGTCTTTATGTACTAGTACAACTTAGATTTTCAGAGAGGTCGACAAGACATCCAAATTGAGGGAGGAGCATGACCAGGGAAGAGTAAGAGTCTGGCTGTAGCTGTATCTGGAAGTATGAAATACAGAATTCTCACACTTCACTTATTCCTTCACATTCTGCAATACTGACACCACAGGGTAATGTGGTGGTTGAATGCCTGGGTTCTTGGATCACGTGGACTGGATCTGACACTGGCTCATCAGTTACTCGTTGGATGACCTTGGGCTAGTTATTTGACATGTCTGTGGCTCCGTGTCCTCATGTGTAATGGGATAATAACTGTATCTACCTCCCACGGTCACTGAGAAGTGCGGGGAACAATGCCTGATACATAGAAAGCACCTGGTAAACGTGACAGTGTTTTGTTTTGTTGCAGTGAACTCACATTTTTTTTCTTTCCTTCTTTCTCTTTCTTTTTTCTTCTTCCTTCCTTCCTTTCTTCCTCTCTTTCTGCCTCTCTCTCTTCCTTTCTCCCTTCCTTCCTTCCTTCCTTTCTGGCTAAAATGAATTTACTTTTTTTTAAAAAAATTTTTAAAATTTATTTATTTATTTATTTAAAAAGTTCTTCAATGCACAATTTATTTATTTATTTATTTATTTTCAAAAAGATTTTATTTATTTGAGAGAGAGACAGTGAGAGAGAGCATGAGCGAGGAGAAGGTCAGAGAGAAGCAGACTCCCCGTGGGGCTGGGAGCCCGATGCGGGACTCGATCCCGGGACTCCAGGATCACCACCAGAGCCGAAGGCAGAAGGCAGTCGTCCAACCAACTGAGCCACCCAGGCATCCCTAAAATTTATTTTTGAGAAGGAGCATGTGTGAGCTCACAAGCAGGGGGGAAGGGCAGAGGGAGAAACAGACTTCCCGCTGAGCAGAGACCCTGATGCAGGACTTGATCTCTGGACTCTCAGATCATGACCTGAGCTGAAGGCAGAGGCTTAACCAACTGAGCCACCCAGGCGCCCCCAAATAAATAAAATCCTTTTTTTTTTTTTTTTTTTACATTTTATTTATTTATTTTGACAGAGATCACAAGTAAGCAGAGAGGCAGGTAGAGAGAGAAGGGGAAGCAGGCTCCCCACTGAGCAGAGAGCCCGATGCGGGGCTCCATCCCAGGACCCTGAGACCACGACCTGAGCTGAAGGCAGAGGCTTTAACCCACTGAGTCACCCAGGTGCCCCTAAATAAAATCTTAAAAAAAAAAAAAAGAAAAAGGAAAGACAAGGAAACAGTGAGATTTATTTAAGTTTTAATCATATATTGTGAATACCTGGACACAAAGAACCCCTCTCTTAAAAACAGAGATTACCAATTGTGAGATCAGTTTGAAAGAAGACTAACATCAAATTAAGTCTAAATCTTTTTCCTTGGTATAATCAGGGAGATTGAGAGAGAACTTAAAAACAAAATAATTTTCTTGCCCTGTGGGCTTCCTGGCACTTTGCATCCCAGATTTAGGGAGATACTGAAAAAAGTTAACACGTGGTAGAACCAAAAGATGGGCATTCTGAATGACCAACCATATGATTTAGATTTGAACAAAGAGCAAAGCGCTTCATGCCCTTAAGCAAGGTAGGCTTGCATCAAAATGTTATTTTCAGAATATTACTGGAAGAGCCAAGTGTAAGACCAGAACAATGAGGAACTGGAGCCAGAAAGACCAGCTAAAAGATCTAATCAAATAAGATGGATTTGTCCTGTGTCCACACTACCTTAAGGCCAACCTGACAGTTTCTAGAGAAATACCTGAGAGAAAAAATCTGCAAAGAAAAACAGCCTGCCTTAGCAACTCAATGAAAAACAACAGGAGAGTAGACCTTTTCCAAGGTCATCAGTGGTTCCTATTTTCAACTTCCAGACTGGATATATCTTTGATCAAAGGTGTTTGAAAGAGTGAGGCTGAGAACATGAAAGCCAGCTAAGGTCACAAATATTCATTCCCCTGAAAGTGACACAGAAATAATGAACTTTGGTTTCTTGGCCTTTTCGAGGTCATTGATGATTTTCCAGTGTGGCTGGCTCTACTCTGCTCCTCAAATACCAGGGTCCCCTGAGAATCTTTTTATCTTTTCGTCTAACGGAGAGGTTCCAGAAAGTTTCCGGGGTGGGGCAGGCACATCACAAACTCTGCTTTTATCCTTTCTCCCAAGAGTTTGCTTTACTGAACTAGACCTACAGTTTCACAGTCTCTCCCACCTGCAGCACATGTCAGAAGACAGCTGAGTGCTCAAGTTGTAAGAGGCAAAACAGTAAGAGGAAAATACACCCCTGGATGAGTGGAAATATGTGACTGAGTTCTGTGGTTAAGGCAGACCATTGTTCATTGTGAAGACAGGAGAGCCTCAGATCTTCACGTGCATGCAACCTGCAATCATCAGATCCCCTCATCTCCGAGTTACGGTAACTTGAGTAGTGCAGATGATTATCAGTCACCTGTAGACACGATGACTCAATGTGTATGAAACCCAGAAGGGGTAAGCTACAGTAATTGAAAAGCCAACAGCTCACGTTTCTTTAGTAACACACTCATAAAAAAGGTTAGTCAAACCACAAGAGTGTAACTTCTCCCAAACCTGCACGGAGCCTCTAGTCCAGCTTGTAGTCAGAATCATACCACACCTTTGAATGATTAATGATCACAGCTTCAGGCTGAATTAGAGGTTTCCTTCTGATCAAAGCACAACTGGCAACAGCAAGTCCTGACTTTAAGAACCAGGACCATTCCTTACCTGTGCTACTTTTTTTTTTTTTTTTTTTTTTAAGGTGTCCATCCCTACCATCTAGGCTTTGGTAAAGATTTTAAAGATTTTATTTTTTTATTTGACAGACAGAGATCACAAGTAGGCAGAGAGGCAGGCAAAGAGAGAGGAGGAAGCAGGCTCCCCGCTGAGCAGAGAGCCCAATATGGGGCCTAATCCAGGACCCTGGGATCATGACCTGAGCTGAAGGCAGAGGCTTTAACCCACTGAGCCACCCAGGTGCCCCAAGGCTTTGGTAACTTAAAACCAAGTAACTGGCTGACCTGAAGAGCTGCAGTGGGGAGAGGGTGTACGGTTGTTGGCTTCCAAGTGCCAACTTGAAAGTACAGAATCACCACCTAGAGCTAAAAGGGACCTTAACTGAGCACGTGAATTCAGACCTCTGCCTTTGGGGCCTAGTGACAAAATCCACCACCCTAATCTGTTTACCTCTGGTTTTTATACTTCACACTATCTAGCATTCTGCCTTATATATACTACTA